GCTTTATTCGTATCTGAGCATTTCAGATAGTCACTCCGGAATATTGTGTAGTGAACATGAGGACACAGTAAATAAATTATATTTTGTATTTTCATATAATTTTGAAATTATTCATAGAAGATCAATGAAGAAATGTATTCCTATATGAAACATACTCTGTTGGTATTTAATGTTGAGAAGAAACTAAAAATAAACAGAGCGAAAAAGAAAATATTAGTTTTTTTACGATTGCATTTTAATGTTGATTATTTCAAATAATGAAGATAGATATTTTTTATTTGTACTTCATAATTTACATTCTTGTTAAGATGTAAATAGCCAGTATTGGCATAATCTGTAGCTAGAAGATAATAAAACTTCTCTATCATTGAGTCTCTGTTTGTTTGCTTGATATCACAAACAGATTGATAAAAAAAAGGTTTTATCAAGTCTAAAATGCTAATATTATATACTGAGGGTGTGGGTGTGCAAGCATATAATACCTACACCCACACCCACAAAAACAGTGAATTCTAAAACAGTTTCTTCTTATGCAATATCGGAGACAAAAACGTTCCAATCTCTCTTCTTTAGACTGATGAAAACTGCAGCTCGTTAGCTGTTCCTGTTCTCAAGTTATTCAAAAACAAAAATACTCAGGGCTCTTTTTTTTTAAATGGATATTAGTTATAGTTAGAGAGCTGAAACTTCCAGAAATAAAAGATCTTAATTAGATACATATGTGATAAACATTTCAGCATTACGTCAAGAAAAAGTATGAAAGATATCATGAGACATCCTTTGTATGTGAACAATATCCATTAAGACAGATAATTCAAAGAAAAACGACAAAGGTGTGGATATGGGTGTACATGCTAGGAAATAGAGTGTGAGTGTAAGGGCTTTGTGAAAGGAAGGCCGACACCAATAGTCAACATTCACATACAGTCGAATTTCGAAGGATTAACAGAGCAAATAAACAATAATGTCTCACATGTTCCACTCTATAAGAAGTAGCTTCAACTAATGGATGATTTTATTATATATTCAAAACAAGAATATTTCTTCATATCTTTATTGCTTACCTGGATATTTATAAAGTAAGATTTAAAGAAGAACTGACTTCGAATCTCGGTTATATTTGAGGAATAATACGCATAGAAATAGTCAACAATAGCAACGATATGTTTGTCCCGGTAATTATAAAGACGTTGTAGAAGTCATGATTCAAAAAAGCGTTGTTTTTATTTCTATTATTTTTTTGTCTCTATTGCCTTTATACAAATCGTGTCGAACCTACTTCTCCTAATGCTCATGCAGATTTAACATCTATTAAAGAACGACGAATAGATTCAACTAGTAGACCAATTGAAGACGTTAACTCAGGCAAAAATGAAGTATTGTTTATCGAAAAGAAAACACTTAAACGACATCTTGGATTATTTTCCAGAATCTCATTTATACTTGGCATGATCATTGGTGAGTAAGATATGTTGATTTCAGTCTATTTTTGTTTGAAACATTTTCTATGTTAGGCTCGGGTAATATTTGTTTCTCCAAAAGGTGTTCTAATACAGACACAATCAGTCGGATTATGTTTAGTAATATGGGTATTATGTGGTGTCGTGTCTATGCTAGGCAAGATTATGAGTTCAAAGAGCTAATTTTTTTTATTAAATACACATATTTATTACAGGTGCATTATGCTATGCAGAAATAGGCACAGTTATACCGCTAAGTGGTTCCGAATTGGGGTGGGTGTGGGTGTGGGTGGGTGCGTGGGTGAGGGTGGCTTGTAGGTGGGTGTGGGTGTGGGTGAGGGTGGGTGGGTAGTGTAAGTAAAGAACATCCACGCTCACACCCATACCCACACCCTGTTTATTTAAACACACATTTTCTTGTTTAAGATCATCAATTTGTTCCTTTAAATATGTATTTTCCTGTATGACACGATTATTTTCTCCGGTTAAATTAAAAATTTCTTTTTTTATTTGATTAAGTTCAATTGTTAACATTCTATTTGATTCTGATAAATTGAACAAAGTTTCTTGAAGTCGTCGATCAGAATCAATTTGTTGTTGATTTAATTGTAGCACTAAGTGTTGTACTTGTTGATGTAAGTTTGTATTATCATTACGCAACATGTTGTTTTGTTCAAGTAATGTTCTAATACTAACAGTTGTATTCGGTTGATTCTACAAAAAAGAACATTTGAATTTAATTTTTCATTAAGATAAGACATCCTATCAAGATTCATTAAGAATTATCATAATACCTGTAATGAATCACCATGTGGTGTATTAGATTCATGTGAAGAATGTTGATCAGCCATATCAATATGAAATAGTTCGAATAAGATACTATCTTATACTCACTATATATCTTTTACTGAAGACGACACTATAATACCAACAGCTTTACAAGCAATGATCCTCACGTGAATTTTAATTTGTTGATAACGAAATTATAAACCGTTTGAAAGTGGCTGCATATATCATAGTTGGCAACTTTGTCGATACAAATGAATATAATCGAGAATATGATAAAATATTATTAATATATGATTAGTACTTATTTCTAAATTTTGGCTATATTATTAATTTTTTTTTTTCGAAAAATATTATAGATGTCATTGCTATACATCTTTCTAGTGATAAACATTGCTCAGATTATTGTGTCTCATAAAATTCAACTGAAAATATATGAATTCTCTGCGGACCTAAAACTGAATGCTGTATAGAAAGATTTCTATTATTTTCAACGTATCGGTTTTTCTCAATATTGATTACGCTAATGTTTGAGTGAAAACTCTATTGAATCATCTGAAAAACAATGTAATTCATTCACCAGTATCATTTATTTCTATTGTCATTTATGACTTACAAAATCTCAGGTCAAACTGAGTGCAAAATAGAAATATTATTTTTTTTAACCATTTTCATTCCGGTGTACTGCCATGCTGCTTCGCTCACTTTCTGCAGAATACTCTTAATAAGAATGGCATTCTATGCTAAAATTTTAGTGCTTACGAAATTTGTACATTTAGTTTAAGACTCCAACGTATTAGAACCAAAATGAAGTCTATACTGTGGTCATTGAAAGTCACTATACTGGGTATTTCAAAAGTTCATTTTTGCTCTACATATATGGCTTTCAATGATTTGAGAGCCTTCAAAAACTAGACGTCAGAATTTGATGAATTTTTTTTTGCATGTAGATCTTAATGGATACTACTAATATTTAAAAAAACCAGGTTCTCCATTTTAGGATTGTGGAAAATAGAGTTTCTCCAATTTTGCCTAAAACCAAGGCTCAATGACTGTGTTTTAACATATTTTATTGTACAATATTAGAAACTGACAACTTCTTATAGGCTCCTCTCCATATTGGACTTAAATACGACGTGTGCTACTTTTAATTGAACTCAAAAATGTCGAAAACAAAATACATAAAAAACGGTGCATGAATTCTTATCTTTCGGAATTATTTTCGATTTTTTTACAACTCTTCTCAAGTGAATTATATGAATGATGTTCCTTTCCTAGGCAACAGCGATGAATGATGATAAAATAATTTTGTGGAAACTCGGCTTCAATTCCTTATTGAATGAATTGTTTAATAGAGATTCCTTTTTGAAAAATATCGCTATTCAGTTTCATGGCATGTTTGACATGCAAATAGGGTGTGGGTGGGTGTGGGTGTTGATTAAGAGATGACCAATATCCACACCCTAAATCTACTATATTCTCTAGGTCTAAGTCCGTACGACTCTTCCTTATCTAATATTTCAATGACTGCTTTATTTGGATGCATAAGTGCATTAAAACTAAAGCACAGTACTTTAAAAAGAATACACTAGAACCAATTGTTGTTTATTTATCCGAAGAGTACACGAAAAAACTTTTGCAGTACCATATGTAATTGTTGTTCAAAATAATTGATCACCAGAGAAACAATCATCTGATTTATTTCTGCATTGCAAATAGAAACTTTTTTTTTTTTTGATTTATCTTGTTGTTTTTCATTTTCATACAGATACACTTTTATTATATCTTGATAAGCTCATAAACGTTGATATAGGTGATTTCCTAAAGTTATAACTCGATTAGTTCACATCTTTCTTTTATGTTGACTATATGACAATTGTGGCAAAGCCAATGCATCGCTTTCCATTATTCTTGGCATCTTAAATATCAATTTTTATCTGCGTTAAAATCAAAAACTGCACTATTTAGAACATTATTCGCAAACGTATTTCGAGCCATTCATGATTCCAATAATTTTAGTCACTTTTACGTTACAAACTAACTGATAATGGAGAAACTGTGAATCTAATTCTGAAATAGCTATTAGAAGAAAATCATGATTTTTCTATAAAGAAGTGTGATAATTGTTGTGTTCGGTGGCTAAAATCTGTAATAGACGAGACGCAAACATCGACTTACAATTAATACTCATTATTTTCTTCGAAAATATTTGTCAGTTCCATAAAAAAAATGTTTATTAATTGTCTTCAGTTGATATCATTTATATCTCAATACAATACAAAAAAGCTTTCAGCGCAATCCCTGCAGGATTAAAAATGTGAAACACGATGGAGCTTTTTATATTGTGAATGAAGGAATTTAGTAACGTATGTCTCAATTTTCAATCACTACGCACTGTTACAGAGAGTGTAAGGAATAGAGACCAGAGAACTTTCTTAAAATATATTGTTTTTTACAAGAAAAGCAAAATGAAACTTGACTGAAAGTTTAATGAAAGTGATAGCGTTTATAATTATTCATTTTTCTATGAGAAAATATCTTGTTTCAATATTTTTCATTGCTACAAATAACCCATTTTATACCATTTCTGTCAATTAACTAATGTTTCCACGTTTTCTCATTAGTTAATAACACGCAGTAGACTTTACTTGCGATACTGCCTCTGTAGCAGTCTGTAATGGTCCGGTAGTGATGTCTGTCACGTCTATGATAGGTCGTTGCTAAGGATGTCTGTCA